GGCGGTACAAAAGACAGCTCAGCTCGGTGCAGAGTGGGGTCCTAAGTGCCACATCCATCTGAATTCTTTCACAGGAAGGCTCAGTATGTCTCGGAGACCATGAAACCCCAAACGACGACATTAAGACAGCTATTTTATGCTCTCTCATGGGGGTGGTGGGCTAAACAAAACTATTTTTCCATTACTTTCCTCATTTATGTCTTGCTGCTACTAAAAGCTCACACCAGTTGTAGCCGGCTCGTATTAAAATGAGCTGAGAGTCCCATTGGGAGGGAATAGCGGGGACATTTTGAGCGGTAAAGATGTGTAGTTGGTGTTGAATGCTAAATGCTAATGGATGAAAGAGATTGCTTACAGAGCACATCACACCTCTGCTGGCTAGCCAAATCAGCACTTCAGCTTGAATGTGCGTGTGTGTGGCCGAGCCCTCGTTTGCAAAAGCATACAAGATAGTTCATCTTAAAATGAAAATGATGTCTTTATTTATGATGTCTCATCCTTATGTCATTTCAAAACTGTATTTGGATATTATTTTCTGTGGAGCGCAAAATAGACACTTGTCAAAGTAATAAAAGTAGTCCAAGTGACATGTGTAATGTTCCAATCTTTCTGAAGTCAAATTATAGTTGTTAATCACTGAAAGTTGTGTTTTGGCCATGTCCACAAAGTTGGTGAGAGCTTTAGGGAAATTATTAAATAATGACTTGATTTGTTACAAAAACCCATGGCGAAGAGTAATACTAAGAGAAGGTGTTTATCAGTTAAAGGAGTTAATTTATGGAACAGTCTTCTTATTTCACTTAAGAGCTCTAAAACTATTAATGCATTTAAGAAAAGATATAAGTTAAACATTATGGAAAAGTATAGAACACTTGAATGAAGAACATTAGAAAAGTAAGCGAAAGTGGATGCATATAATTTTGATTGTTGAAGTTTAAGTTCTGTGCTTACATGTTATCATTTTTGGTATAAGAGAAACCATAAAATTGTGTCATCTTTGGACATAGTGTTTTTGTTGTAAAAGGGGTTAGGCAAAATAAGTCTTGACTTCAGCCTAAACCCCTTCGGTCAGATATTATTTAGCATCTATATTCCTAGGTACTCATTTTGTATTTATCTTTCTAATGTATTTATAAAAAAAAAAAAAAATATAAAAAATATTCTTTCTCTATTTGTTTCATTGTTTTATGTTTTTTCATTGTATTATGTACAGGATTTTTGAATTACATATGACCTAAGATTTAATTGTTCAAAATGACCGAAGAAAAATAAATAACTAGGCCTAACGAACTTAGATTTCAGCCTATTCATCACACAAAGCTGTTGTATTCCCTAAAGTCCCTCTGGGGAAAATCAAGCTTTTAATGTTGTTTATATTGTGTATATGGTGTTTTTAATGTGCTTCAACACAAACCAGGTGCAAATGCACAAGTCAGCACCATTGCTGAGTATTTTCCCTTTAAAACTGCAGTGAACTAAAGTTAATCTCAAAAACGAGGTTTGAAATCGCTTGTGTTTCTGACGTCACAAAATACCTTGTAACCAATCAAGTCAACGTGTGATTGTATTTGTTGGCGGGACTAATTTGCATATTCATAGAGCCGCGTATACTAAATGAGGCAAGGGTGTACTGTAGAGTTGCATTCAAGCTATTCTAAGTCATGAAAAACTCAATTCAAGGAAAAAACTTTTAAATATGTCATTTTGGGCATCAAAGATTAGTTTTAAGGGATAAAATGATTGACTTCAGGGGGATTTTAAGATAAGCTGGAATATAGAGCAAAAGTCACAGGTTATTGTTTTTTTTTGTCCTTTTTGGAGCTTGAGAGCCTCTGATTACAGTGCATTGTATTGGACAAGAATTGCATGACAGTTCTTCAAAGATTTCTGCTTTTGTGAAGAAATAACAGCATGCAGGTTTGAAACGACATGATTGGCGAGTAAATAATGGCAGAATTGCTTTAAATTCTCAGTTCCCCTTCAATCTGCCTCTTAGAAATCCTTCTGGTGATTTTGAAGAGACATAGTGAAGGGCAACCGACGCTCGTCTTGCTTCTCAAACACGTCTGTGGTGCCTGATCACCTTCTCACACACATAGATGCAAATTCGTAGATACGCATGCATGCGCATATCAAGCCTCCTAAATCTCCAGCTCGCATTTAGCACTTTGACAAATTATTTTCCATCTCATTGGTCAAGGTGACAGAAAATGGATTGTGTTTTTTAATTGCCTCTTATTTAGATTGTATCAGTTTATTACAGATAAATCAAAAACTTGTTTGTGCCCTGATTTTGTAGGTAAAGGATTGAATATTGTATGTCATACATCCTACATCATCAATACCGTACAAATAACACTAGACATAAATGTCAGACCCTTCGGTATGAACAAGGTTGATTAATATCATTGGGTCGAGAATATAATGAAACAAAATGTAACTAGAGAACCTGGTTTGTAGAATAAAATCTAATCTGTTCTATTTATCCTACGGTAATCATATTAGGGTTTGAAGACCCATACATGCACTCATTTGTTGACACACACAAGCTACCTCAGAGTTTGCTTAAAATAATTCAGTCATTTACCTCTGTCTAACATTAAATCACCCTGATAATTAAATCAATTTCCACTGTTTTGCCGTGACCGCGTTTACTCACGAGACGTGATGAGTAATGCGGCTTTTACTCGCTGCATTAAGCCGAGTTTGCAGGGATGCGTAAAGAGACTGCAGACAAGAAGAAAGACTCAAAGACACTGTTTTCTCTGTTTCATCCGTTAGAAGAGCAGCATTCGGTAATGGAAGGAGACATATAGCGCTACACCCTCCCCCCATCCTCATGAAAACTGCACAAGAAAATGCAGCTGCAGGCAAAACTGGTGCAGCCATCTAATAAAACGTACTCGGTGCACTTCGTCAAGCTAGACTGACACACACACACACACCAGAAGCACCTACCTCGCACCTGCCGAGCAGCAGATCTTGTGCCACCAGGGCAATCGCGTTACATTAAACGCATTACTCTGTGATGGTTACCAGTGTGCCAGGGGCCATGAAGACGAGTCTTTTAATTTTGAAAAACAAAAATTAAACAACATAGGAGGCTCTTCACGCAAGTAATGCGCAAGGACGCCGGGACTACCAATATTAACAATCTGATAAACGCATTAATTGCTCGCCCCCTTCAGCAGGTCTTCATCTAATAATCAGGAATAAGGTCTCATTGGTTGCCATGTCTAATAATAGTGAGTGATTATTTTAGCCTAGTGTTATACCCTGAGAGGTCCTCGCATAATAAATGGTGATTAACAAGAGTGAAAGGTGTAATTTACCTACGGACGTGCGTAATTGCTATACGGCAAATCTGCTTTTTTCCTTGCACTTATGCATGAGAGCAAAGAATCGCAAAAACAAGGTAAGACACACACACACACACACACTGAGAGCAGATTGGTAGAAAGCCACCTGTGAGAGAGAAATTCATCTGTGATGAGGAAATGTTCTCGCTGGTGTGTGTTTCTCTGTGAGAGAAAGGATGGACATTTCCATGGAGATGGAAAATTGGCTTTTGCACCATTTTTATTGACAGTGATTGTGGAGAAAGGACAGGAAGTGTTCGGGAAGTGACATGAGCTGAACTTTTCCTGCATGAGAATCATGGTTCAGTGTGTTACTGCTAAGTTGTGTTAAGGCACAACTGTATAGTTACAGATTTGGATGTGATGTCCATTTTGCTAACATAGTAAAGAAATGATCTTTGCTACTGATGTAAATTACATTTATATAAGTTGTCACATTTCAGTCTATATCATTTTTCTTGTTGAAAAAGATCCGACTCATTAATTCGGGGAATCGGGCTACAATTGTCGTACTGTACGTTTTTGATCCATAAAAGTAATTTGTTTTAGAATTGGACTACATTGGTCAAGTTATGTGTGTTTTTGCGCACAACATACAAGGACTGCAGACTAAATTTGTGAAAAGTTCATTGCTATTTGAGGAAACATGTTTTGCTCGGAAATATTTGGACAATTTAATTGAAAAGTAAATCTGAAAAATGTACTGTGATATAATGATATGCAAATTGAGCATGCATATTCAACTATCTGTGCATGTTTGCATCGAGGTGGCCAAAATTTTAGTATCATACCATCCCTAATGTGCATACATGTGTTTTAATGAATTGTTCATGTCCTGACAGGACTAATGAACGGTAAAACGAATCCCTGTCAGTAATCGTGCGTCCACTAGAGCTATATACCGTGTCACGTTAGCGCTCTGCGAGAAATCACGTGCGCCGTCCACCTGGGCTGGATAATGAGATCTGGCGTTCTGCTTGAAAGATGAAAAATGTCAGACAAATGAGCCCAGTCAATACGAGGCTTCTTGCAAACAAATGCGTCCTGATAGGAGAGCATCCCTGCGTCTCCCTCAGTTCTGGGCGTGTAATTGTCTGTCTGTGTTCTCTAATTGCGGCATAATAAATAAAGCACCTTCATTTGTTGATGTCTGTACTTCTAATGCGATTCCCTCCAGTGCTGTGCCGCAGATATCTCTCAACTCGGCTTTTTCTCAGTTTTCTCTCTTTTTCCCTCCCCTCATCGCTCTCTCTCTCTCTTTGTCTCCTCGTCCTCCTGTTCCTCCACTCCTCAGCACACCTGGGGGCCTGCAGGGGATGTCTCAGCATGAATAATGCAGAAGAGCTTCAGAAGTTGTACCTGCTCTCCTTTCCTACCATCTCTCTCTCTCTCTCTCTCTCTCTTCTGTTTCTTTCTCAATCTCTCTCGCTCTCTCTCGCGCTGTGTCAGTGCGCACTTTCCATCTCTCACTCTCCTTGTCCTCACTTTTAAAACCAAGTAAAACCATTATTCCCTCGTGGAGGAGGAGCGGGAATGTGATTTCCTGTGTGCTTGTTTTTTGCAACAAAAAAAAAATCCTGTTTGCAGTTTAAAAACAAAAACAGGCTTGCACTCAGTCCACTCTCTCTCTCTCTTCTCCAGTGGATTTTGTGGACTGTGGCAGGGGTTCTGGCTTGCGCTTCGAGAGCGGAGACCCTGCGGATTTCCGGATAGAGGCCGACGGGACGGTTTTCGCAGCGCGAACACTGCAGCTCTCTGACGGGAAGGGGCGGAGCTTGGAGATTAAGGCCAAGGACGTGAAGTCTCAAGAGCATTGGCTGGTACACGTCAACTTCACCCAGCCCAAGCAGGTAGGAAGGAAGGCGCACTCGCACGTTAACACGGGGACTGCAAAAATCACAGTAATTACAACTGTGTCAGATCGCTAACGGCGCATGGTGTTTCTAAACTAGCCTCACGCTGCAATTACACCATCAAAACGCCATTGTGCGAATGTGAGCTCACAAAAAATGTCTCTCTTCATCCGAGGGCCTCTGTGACAAAGCCAAAGCACTAATAAAACTATATTAGAAAATTAGCAGAGCACTAACACGTTGATAGTAGGGCTGTAATTAATGTTTAACGATGCTAAAGAGACATTAAGGCTGGAGGATACATTAGACAGTGTGGATCTGGACCCTCAGCTTGGGAACACTAACCATATGTCTCATAGCCCTGCCTTCTGCTCAAAGACAGGGAGAATTTACTCTTTATTACTGACTCACACATGCCCACACACTGCCGCCAAGGGGAAGGAGGACGAGAGGAGCCAGCAGGGGATGAGAGCGGATAAAGGCCGATGGTCGAGGAGGAGAGGGTGAAGGGTGGGCAGTCATAATATATTACCCATGAGTTTGCTGGTGATGTTAAAACCAAGCAACACTGGAAATATGTTGATTTTAATGAGCTTTTAATTTGGCCATTACGTTTTCTAAAGAACGTGTCATTAGACTAGTTTTGCAACTAGGCCCCCTCCTTATCTTGTGAGATGGTTTAATTACATCTCTGATTTAAAGTAAGTGTTTGAATGGGCACGGTTGATTCATGTTTGCTTTAATGAATTCGATTCAAAACTCGACGTTACCATTCAAAATTTTGGGGTTTGTACATTTTTTTTAATGTTTCTTATGCTCTCCAAGGATGCATTTATTTGATCAAAAATACAGTATAAGCAGTAATATTGTGAAATATTATTACAATTTAAAACAACTGTTTTCTATTTTAATGTTTTTTTAAGCTTATTCCTGTGTTCAAAGCTGGATTTTCAGTATCATTACTCCAGTCTTCAGTGTCACATGATCCTTCAGAAATCACTCTAATATGCTGATTAGATGCTCAAGAAACATTTCTTATTATCAATTTTGAAAGCAGTTGTGCTTTAATGCATCCTTGTTGAATAAAAGTATTAATTTCTTCTTTTTTTTTAATCTTACTGACCCCAAACCTTTAAATAGGTCATGTAGATAAATATAGCTGTTCATTACTATGCATTCATTTATGAAATAATTCATTTATGAAAATGATTATATTCAGGATCCCAACGATCCTGAAAAACATGGAAATATCAGGGAATTTAATATTCCAAAAAAAAGTGCTTTCCAGGCCTCTAAAAATCATGACAATAAATACAAATTAATAAAATCTTAAAAGGCTGTGACAATATAATTATTAATAGTTATGGTCAAGTGTTTCAGCTACAGATGGCTCGATAAACTCAATAAAAATCCTATCAAGTATTCACAAATGGCTAATTCATGGATAAATCATAGAAATTAATTGTCCAGAAAGAATGGGAACACTTTATCCATCATTCTTGTGTTGATTTTGTTAAACAAAAACTGGGAAAACATGCCTTATTTTTAAAGTAGATGTTTATTATTTTTACTTTCATTAAACATTTCGATTTTCATTAAATATAATCAAAAGCCCAGCCCTAGTTTATACAGCTAGAGATAACAGATAGAGATAGAAAGGCGATTAATGTGGAATGAGAGGGAAAATAGGAGATATGAAAAGTAAACGAGAACGAACTGGGGTGAAAGATGTTTTTCCATCAGTTCTGTCAATGTTTATGTTGTCGGTTTGTTCATTTGGATAGATTGTGAGACTGTGAGTAGGTACAAGGGTAATGAGTTAGCTCATCACCCGAGTCATAGCAGCGAGAGAGAAAAACGAGAGAATCTATCTCCCTCCTTCAACACCGAACTGCCGCCCGCCCCCATGTCACTGTCATTACCGGCAATATTTCACCACCGGGAGGAAAAGAGAGAAGATAGGTCAAGAGAAAAGGGAGGCTTAGTTGATATCAACTGAGAGGGAATATTGAGTCGCTTTATAACATAACGCACTGTGAGTTTTTGTACTTGCATAAAGAAATCAGTCGTTGTATTGTGTTGTTAGTTGGAATTAAACTCTTAACTGAACACTCAGGGGTTTCTGTTCTGTTTAACACTAAGAGCAGGGCAAATGTCTGGTCAAGCACATCTCTGGCTGCCTTCGGCTCTGAATAACAAGGCTCATGGAGAAAGGAAATGGAACAATACTGCAAGCTCGACACACACTTTCACTTTCACATTCACTATGTGGGTGTTACTGCTCTGGGAGTTAACGATGGAGCAGCAGTGATATTTATGACCCCATTACAGAGGGTAAAATTAATTCTGTAATTATTCGGGGGCCGGGGCAAAAGTGTTGCATGTGCTGCAGTGTGTGTGGGTGTGTGCGCATCACCTAATGTACATTGACCGTGTGGGTGTTTTTGAATCTAACTGTTGTGCTTTTCGCCGTATTTTTTTTCTTTGCCAGGTGCCAGTGATACTGTTTCCGCGGCACAGTGTGGTTGTCAAGGGCGACGGCAGTGTGAATCGCGTGAAAAGAGACTGGGTCATTCCTCCCATCAACGTGCTTGAGAACTCCAGAAAACAATTCCCTGAAGAGCTTGTGAAAGTGAGTGTGTACGCAAAGAAAAACAACATTGGTTCATCATGTGAAGTGTATTCGAAAAAGTACGATAAAAATAAACGGTGATTCATTCATTGAGTTGCTATTCACGTGCATGGAATTCAATTTTATGTTTATCCTGCAAAATTTGCGTGTGTGTTTCAGATCCAGTCGGATAAGGGCAAGAGTAACTCACTGCGCTACAGCGTGACCGGACCAGGAGCCGACCAAAACCCCAACGGCCTGTTTATCATCGACCCCCTTTTAGGAGTCCTGTCTGTCACCAAACCATTGGACAGAGAACACATCCCCAACTTCCTTGTAAGTGTGTGTGTGTTCATGACTCCATGTCCTGAGATGTCATGTCAAACTTTTGAGTACATTTCATCCTAAAAAAACCCAGATTATTCAAACAAACAAAATTATTCAGATTTATGAAACCGTATGAATGATTGCACAAGATTTCCTTTATGTGTATGTTCTAGTTGACTAGTAGTCGCTCATTTAAGCCATTAGTCCGACATTTATGATATTAATTGAAGTGCTTTAAAATATACTTGGGGTTGGGGAGTGACATTGGAATATGGTTTCAGATTCAGGGTTGAGAATAAATATTATAGCATTGTTCTACATTACAGAGAAATACTAAACCATAATAATGAGCATTTAAATATGAATTAAGCACAATTGTTCAATCACAACAATTGGAGTCGCCACAGGAGTCGCCAAATTGCCCAGTAAAAGAGTTGAGTTATTATTCAAATTTTAATGTAAAGTTTCTTTTTTATAAAAACAAATGTGTGTGTGGGTTCGCCTGTGCACTTTTCAGTGCCGTTTCTTGCATACACAATGTTTAAACATCAGGCCTTTGGTCTTTAGATCTGTGTATTTCATCCTGGACAGAGAGAAGCCCTCTAAAACTCCCAATAAATTACATGTGTCATAGTTACCATGGCAACCAGTCTGAGAATGTGACCTTTGACTCCCCTCTAATCCACTGTACCGTGAAGAGGAGAGCAGGCAAAATTAAACTCTGGAGGAGCTTATCTTAACACTAAGTCACACACACATTCATTCATTGTGCTCGTAGGGGGGCATTCCCTAAATCTGGCTTTTCCTAAGTAAGAACAATCCTCAATCTCCCCTGGAAGTAGTTTCAAACTTTTTCTGCCTGGTTTCAATACCCTTTCACTTCACTACTGGACCCGAGAGGCTGTTAACCTCCCTCAGTGTCTACCTAATCCACATTCAGATTCAAATTATGCAGAGATTACATGAATATGAAATGATTTGCTTCCTAATGGTGCCAAAGGTGGAGCATCAGGCTTCCTTCGGATAGCTCATGCATATATACAGCAGACTTAAAGGTGCTCTATGTAACTTTTCTACTAAAATGAATCCTTTTTTTATTGCATGTGTGTGAAGGGGTTGTAATCACACATTAAAATGATCCACTTGTCGAGTTTTGCTATTACCTCTGAAGGCCAGTATTCCTATTTCTATGTGAAGTCTCCGGGTCGGATTTCCCGCGAAATCCAACGGATGTGACGTGCATGTGCGCTCCCGAGCCGCTCTCCTTATATACAGTCTATTGTAGACGGTCAGGGAGTTACGTCCGGTTAAAGGCGCACGTTTTTCGGCTTATATCTCAGTCAATCTTTGATCAATATTCCCAAGACTCTAATCGTTCATAGTGCTGGACGGGGCCTTTCGAACGAGCCCACCCCCGAGGTCCAACTCGCCCGGCTCCCTGAGTTATAGCCGTTCGAAATCTGGGGTCCCAGCGAACGTCGATCCGGTAGGGGCATCCCCGAGGCCCGCCACTCTAGCGTTCGGGCAAGGGTTCCCCTGGGACCTCCTCCCCCGAATTTGAGCTCTCTGGGTCTTTGCGTTCCAGAGATACGAGCGATTTTCTTCTGAGATCGTGACGTCACCGGCGCCCGATGGTTTTCTGCTAATATCTCCGCGAAAACACCACCAAAAACTATGGAACTTATATGGTTCTTTTTTTTTAGCTCGACTAGATGGTCCCAACGAGCTCGGTGCTCGCCGAATCCGTCTAGTATTCGCCGAGATATTTGCGTAATAGACGGTATTGTCTATGAGTTCGAGCACGAGCGCTCTTGTAAAATTTGGTTGCAATCTGAAACATCACCACTAGAGGCCGCTAAAAGTTACATAGAGCACCTTTAAGACTGCTCTAGCACACAAACTGCAACCAAGTCAGCTACAGCAGTTGCTTAACTCCAATAACTGCTGTAAATGAGTGTGGCGGTTAATAGCCTATTTTACACTGACAGTGTGTCTGTACTGCCATTGCTGTTACAGTTTTGCTCAGTTGACTGCAGAAAATGTGTGAATTGAGTTCTGTAAATTTCTTCTGAATGTTGCATTAAAATGGCTCATAATGGCATAAAACACTGAAAATACTGTGGAGGTTCTGTGTTGTTCTCAAAACTCGTAAGAGTGCAAATGTGATTCTGAGGGTAATTCACTTCATGCCTCCCATAGCATAGCTAGTTAGTTAGTAAGATTTTATTTTTGTAAAATAATGCTTTTATTTAGCAAGTACGTATTCAATTGATCAAAGTTAACAGTAATGTAAAAAAAAAAATGTACATCATCATATTAGAATGATTTCTGAAGGATCATGTGACACTGAAGACTGGAGTAATGATGCTGAAAATTCAGCTTTGCCAACACAGGAATGAATGACATTTTAAACTATATTAAAATAGAAAATAGCACCTTTTAAATTGTAATAATATCTCACAATCACAATAGTACTGTTTTTAATTAGTTTTGTCAAATAAATGCAGCCTTGGTGAGCATAGAGAAGAAGAAAAAAATCTTCCAATCCCCAACTTTTTGAACTGTGGTGTAATTTCATATGAAAATAACAATGAAATGAGTTGTTTTCATAGCTGCTCAGATGTAGACTTGTTTTCATGTAAACTGTGACTTTAAATGTGTGTTTGCGTCCACAGCTACGTGCTCATGCCGTGGACATCAATGGGAACCAGATGGAGACCCCCGTTGACATCATCATCAATGTCATCGATATGAACGACAACCGGCCCGAGTTCACACACCAGATCTGGAACGGAACCGTGGATGAGGGCGCCAAACCAGGTACACACACACACACACGCATTCACGCTTTTGACACGCCTTCACCAATTAAGTGAAAACTGACATTTATTGCTCTGTTCTAGGTACATTTGTAATGACGGTGACCTCCCAGGATAAGGATGACCCAAATACAGCCAATGGGATGCTCAGATACAAGATCCTCTCCCAGACCCCGGAGAGCCCCTCCTCCAATATGTTCACTATCAACAACAAGACCGGCAAAATCATCACTGTAGCTGCAGGCCTGGACCGTGAGGTACGAGGAAATTTGGAATGTCAAAAATATACTACAACCAGTTTTATTATTAATGTAGTATTTCTAAATGTCTTAAATTATCTTTTACTTTTTTATTTAAATTTTGATTCAAGTTCTTTTTAAACTATTTCTTTTTAGCTGTAATATGTTTTTTATTTCAGTTTTAGTTAGTAATTCTAGTACTTAAACTTGTTTTATTTCAGTTGGTTGTTGAAGCAACAAAGTTTTTTAAAGTTTAAAGTTTGTTTTTCATCAAATATAGCTTATATAATTTTATTTGAGCTTAATTTCAATTACTGAAAACTATTTTTAATTGTTTTTAGTTAACAGTAACAACATTGTTTTCAACTGGTGGGTTGGAACCCAAAAAAACAATGGGCCACTTATCTGGTCTAATGCGGTTAAATAATAAGATGCAAACACAGGGCTGCCAACTTTTGAGTTTAGCTTGGAGTGAGAATTATGGAGGGGGATGGTTTTGGGATTGGGGGTGTTGTAAAAAAAAAATACATATATATTTTCAAAACATGGTAACTAAATATAATTTCAATACGTTTAGTGACAACGTTACAATGTTTACATGGTACAATGACTGGTAGGCGACTGTTTTTATTAGTCCTTGACAAATTTCATGATTTCAATTCATACAATTGAGATTTGAATTTGGATAATTATCAGTACACTAGCTACACGCAAAGTTTTTTAAGGAAAACATCTCTCAACTAATGCTGTAAACATACAGGGAGCCCTGTCAGCTGGTATTATTATTAAAGGCAATACAATATCAAATTAACATAATGCGGTTTTTATAATAATAATGTTAGAATAATTTTACTAATACGAGTAAAAATATAATAAATGTGTAATATAGTGCATATATTTAGCAAAATATTCCTCTCTATAGTTAATTTTTCTATCTACCTAACATGCTATGGTCATTAAATGGCTTTCCTGAGGTAAATGTAACGTTCCGTGACATTGTTCTCCAGCTGTATTATAGACCTCTTTCTGCAGTTTAAACACTGATTGAGCGATTACATGATACATTTCGGTAAGTTATACTGTATCTTTTAACATACTTTCTAATGTTCATTTGTGGTTTTTTTTTACTATTAACTAGTAGTAAAGAGGAAGAGATGATCAGTTCACGTCCACTTGAACTTAGTGATCTGTGGCGTCACATTCAAGAGCCCCAAAACAATATTTATTGTTTGAATTTCGTAATAAAATTGACCGAATTTGAAAGCTGAGACTATTTCAAATCAAAACTAACCTTTTCTGTCAGTGTACTCTTTGCTTCGCAATTTTTCGCCATGTGAGAAAATTGATGTGTGGCGTGAGAGCCTGAGAACAGTGTCAATTGCGCGAGTCAGTTGGCAGCCCTGCGAACATAACACTTCCCATATTCCACATCCAGTTGAGAGCCACTGCTGTAAACCATTTCCTTCTTTTGTTTTTAACCCAATTTTTTTTTGTTTCGTTTTTTTGTGCCGAGCAGAAGGTCCCTCAATACACCCTGATCATTCAGGCTACCGATATGGAGGGAAACCCCACATATGGTCTGTCCAACACCGCCACTGCTGTCATACGCCTGCTGGATGTCAATGACAACGCTCCGGAGTTCACCCGAGAGACTGTGAGTGGCACACACGCACAGACACTTGAACACGTGTCTCGCGAAAGCCATCTTTGCTGAAAATCGATCTCTCTCTGTCTGTCTCTGTAGTTCCATGGTGAGGTCCCAGAGAACCGTGTGAATGTGATAGTGACGAATCTCACCGTGACTGACAAAGATGAACCGGGGACTCCTTCATGGAATGCTGTGTACCGGATCATATCTGGGGATCCAAACGGACTCTTTTCCATCCCCACTGACCCCGTTACCAATGAAGGCCTTGTCACCGTTGTCAAGGTAACACTCACAAACTTACTGAGGAATAAACATACCGACAGATGGTCTGGAACTGATGTGAACGATTCCGCTTCAGAACCACTTTGGGTTTTACACTTTCTGCTCACTCATGAGAGAAAATCACACAACGTCCGTCTACTTGAAGTCGGCACCGCTCACACACTTTGGTCTGCAATGCACAGACAAGCAGAGTGATACAAACAGTGAAAAGTCTCAGCACTTTCAGCCAATCAGATCCGTGGACCAGAACTAACGGATGTATAAACACTGTAATTGGGTTGTGTTGCTATTCGCTAGAATCTCGCTAGAGTCTTCTAGGCCCGGGTTCATATACAGAGTAAAAGACGGTCTCCATGGAAACAGCTTCCACCTGCTGTTCAGCTGAGTTTATATGTCTTTTAATTGAGAATGAGTCATTCATTAATTATTATTCAAGAATTTTTCCTCTGTGTATTTGATTGCAACACAATCCATTCATTGTATAATTTTGATTATTTTTCCTAACAGCTCTGTTAACTTGATTGTATGTGTGTGTGTGTCCTTGTGTACAGCCAATTGATTTTGAGATAAATCGATCATTCATGCTGACTGTTGTCGCTGAAAATGAGGTGCCGCTGGCAAGCGGGATCCATCGCACCCGCCAGTCTACAGCCACCGTGTCCATACGCGTCATCGACGTGAACGAAAGCCCAAACTTTGACCCAAACCCCAAACAGATCAAACTGGAGGAGGGGCTTCCGCAGTGGTCGATGCTAACGACTTTCACTGCTCATGATCCAGACAGATTTATGCAGCAGAGTATTAGGTATTAAAACACACACATGCATCTACACACACACATGTTTGGAAAGGATTTTTTGAAATAGGAGAGTTTAATGCACTATGAGGAACTAAGCAGGGCTTTCTTGCTAGTCCAGCCAGAACATTTATGGAAACTAAGCTGGAAAAATGATTCACTCAGAAATTGTCGCTCAGTCATTCATGTCAGAGGTCATTTACATACAGAAGTCTTAAAGGTGCAGGAGCAAACAGAATATGTCATAGTCATGTAAAGTGGATGGTCATGAATATGGTCTAAAAATAATGTGAAAAGACTAGGATTTTTTTTTTTTTTTTACCTTTATTTCAATTACCGATTTGAAAAAAAAATTAGTTTTAGTTAACAAGAACAACACTGGTCACACTGGAAATGGAAGGTCAAGTTAAACGCTTTGCATTGTGGGATGCATTGCCCAGCGCAGTATGCTAGGTTGTATGAATACATACTATACACTCCAGAAATAGTAGGATATATAGTGTAGTAAATAGTAGAATGAAAGTATGCTACTCCACAACCTTTGTGTTTTGTCATTTTTTCCCCCATTTCAGTAGTTTTTGTATGAACAAGTAAATGTTAACCATCTGTGTTTCTGTTTTAAAGGTACTCTAAATTGTTTGACCCTGCCAGCTGGCTGGAGATCGACCCCAACAATGGACGAATTTCCACAATTGCTGTTTTGGACCGAGAGTCTCCCTATGTTAAAAACAATCTCTACAATGCCACATTTATGGCCTCTGACAATGGTAGGAGCAGCTGTGTTTGTATGTGTATATATGCAGAAACACTTGAGATCTAGTGATTCTGTTGATTTTTAGCTCTAGGGAGGAATTGCAACCGAACAGAGATATACACATGCCCACACATCCATGTTAATGATCTCACCAACAACATATGCAAACTCATTCTGAATGTCTATGCACTCACTTTCTCTGGGTTGTTCTTTGAAGCAGGCTCTCTCTCTCTCTCTCTCTCTCTCTCTCTCTCTTCCTAACACACACATATGCACATACACTACCCGCTGTGTGAAAGAGTCTACTGAAGTCTGCTAGGCCCTATTCTGCTGTGGTGTTTAACATTCTCGCTGCATCAGGGCTCTGAAACAAACCCCCTCTCTCTCTCACACACACACACACACGCTGTAAATTTGAAAGCTTGTCTCCTGAAACACTCACTAAACAGTTGTGCCATTTTTGTATGCGGTATTTCAGTGCAAAACCCCACCTTTTATCCAGTTTAAATGCCCTGAAATAGCAAGGCACTGTATGTAAATGAAGGCATTCTCATTCTTTTTAGCACAAACGCACTCTTCTTTGCAAATTAGCCTTGTTTTAGATCAGCACTATTTGCGCAAAATCAAATGGTAATGTTATCAAGCAATTATATTTAATTGCATTTCATTTAAATACATTTTTATTTAAAAGGGATGTTTGTGTACATTTTCTTGCAATCGGTAATTAATGAAATTGTGGAGAAGAGTGCTATATCCAGCTGTGCACTGCAGTAAAGTGCACTTTTAGCATTTTAAAGGTAGATTGCAGTGCCAACTACAGGCACAAGTTCCGCCATTACCTAAATAATTCAGTGATTCTGTGTTTCCCGAAACCATAGTTCCAATGAATATTCACAAACTGCATCACAAAGTTGTCTGGTTGGAGTAAACAAAGCTAAACAATAGAGAACAAACATAGCAAAGTAATCTTCAGATACAAATAATCTGACATTAATTCTAAATCTCTTTATTGTTGAACCAACATGGTTTACATGTGACAAAGTTAGGAACAGGAAAGGATGCATCGTATTATGGTAGTTCATCAGAGTTATGTTGTGGAGCAAGAATTGCATTGCTAATTGTCTTTAGTTGCATAGTTTAAATTTGTAAACTTGCTAAGACAGCGGGTGCAAATACACAATGCTAACTTAGCATTCTTAGTGAATTCCTGGCTGCCTCAACTCAGTTAAATCTTTGTGTGCAAGTAGCAGTATAGTGCTGATCGAAACCCTTTGCCACAAAGAAGCCTTTTCGTATGTAGTTCAATGCTGATTTGCACACCTGATTCAATAAATTAAGGATACTTAGTCGTACTTGAATTAGTTGTTTTCAGGCTGGAATGGATTCAAATGTGTTGTGAATGCCAGCAGGAGTGGAACAGAAAGCCTCAGCTCCGTCAGCCTGCCTGCGCGGCTCTGCCTGTCTCTTGTTCTTTGTTTAAAGCTCAGTGAAGTCGAAAGGTCTTGTTACTCTTGTTGGAACAGAAACTTAGCTCTTTTCTAAGGAGTGATGGTCCAGTCTGTGGTGGTTATAAGGGCTCTGGTTTGATTGGATCTTATAGACTGTGCAATATGGTTTATAAATGAGTTATCATGCCAACCGACCCAGATGAGTGGAACTTAAAGTCATTAACTGCTGTAGTTCATCTGTATTGTCAGTTTTCAACTATTAGTCTCAGGCTCAGATGTCACGCCCACGAAGCTTTCACAGTCACGAAGCATATTGCACACAAAAACGTGTGCAATATACAGTAAGGGCTGTATGGATTAATCTTTAAAGGGGCAAGAAGATGCACCGAGTTTATTGCATCTTTTGTTCATCTTTTTATTCATTCAAACATCTCGTCACGTAGGTTACGTTTTTTAGATTGCGTGTTGAAAATAGTGTTTAAAAGTTTTAAAATGTGATTAGTTAAAGGAGAACTCCGGCGCAAAATGAACCTTTGGTCTAATTACACATTGTTACCTAGTCAACCGTTATCTGAGATTTGTTTTCATGATTATCGAATGTAAATAGTTTTATCTCTAAAAACAGTTTAGCCTATAAAGCTAGTATATTGGGCATGGAGTAATGACAAATAAAAATCGCTTGTTATTACCACTAACAAGGCTGAAAATAGCCCCACACTAACACGGTAGCATAATGAGGGTCCCTACCTTCAAACCGAAGCATTGAGAACTTTGTCAGTGTCCAGACAGTTTAATAAGAAGATATTTAATACATACAGTCAACTTCGCGTATACAGGCAGAAGCCATCTTTGAAATACAGTCTTTACCAGTCAATCTACGAACGCCGATCCAAGCCTGCTGTTCGCGCTCACCTTATCACAACTTATAGCTCGTTCACATTCTCACCAGCGCACTTGGATCGGCGTTCGTAGATCGACTGGTAAAGGCTGTTTTTCAAAGATGGCTTCTGCCTGTATACGCGAAGTTGACTGTATGTATAAAATATCTTCTTATTAAACTGTCTGGACACTGACAAAGTTCTCAATGCTTCGGTTTGAAGGTAGGGACCCTCATTATGCTACCGTGTTAGTGTGGGGCTATTTTGAGCCTTGTTAGTGGTGTTAACAAGCGATTTTTATTTGTCATTGATCTATGCCCAATATACTAGCGTTATACTAGCTTTATAGGCTAAACTGTTTGTAGAGATAAAACTATTTACATTCGATAATCATGAAAACAAATCTCAGATAACGGTTGACTAGGTACCAATGTGTAATTAGACCAAAGGTTCATTTTGCGCCGGAGTTCTCCTTTAACTATTCTTAGTCAAAAGTCTGGCTACATGAGACCATGTTTGTATTGACTTTCCCTTCTTTTTCTCTTCTGTCCATTGTCAGGTATCCCCCCTGCGAGTGGGACGGGAACTCTGCAGATCTACCTGCTGGACATAAACGATAACGCACCTCGAGTCTTCCCTCAAGAAGCAGAAGTGTGCGAGCGTCCTGAGCCCAACGCCATCAATATCACAGCTGTAGACGGAGACCTCAACCCCAATGCTGGGCCCTATGCTTTTGAGCTGCCCAACCGACCCTCTGACATCCGCAGGAACTGGACACTGACTCGAATCAGTGGTACGCCACAACGGCATATTAAAACACTTTTCTCAATGATGTTTTTATTTGTCTTGGCAGACTTGATCTGACGCTCGTGTTTTGTCATACTTGTGGTTGGTTTGTAGGCGATTATGCTCAGTTAAGTCTGAAAATTAGTTACTTGGAAAGTGGGATATACGAGCTGCCCATCAGCATCACAGACTCGGGTAACCTGCCCATGTCCAACATCACCTACCTGCGCATCAAAGTGTGCCAGTGCGATCACCACGGCGACTGCGTGGACATGGAGCGCATCATGGCAGCCGGGCTGGGCACCGGAGCCATCATCGCCATTCTTATCTGCATCATCATCCTGCTGGGTAAGACGCACACTAGACAGAGATTGTTTCTTCCAGGCAGTGGAGTTCTTATCAGTTGGTCACATTTCTGTCGAGCACTTGTGATCTGCTTTTGGTCGCAGAGGTAGCCTGACTTCTTCATACTCATATTCTAGTCAGAATGTGAGTCTGATACTGCTTCATAGGGCTTTGATTATGAGGCGTGTCTTAACCGAACCAGGAACAAAAAAAACTCTGCACTCAATTGGATAGACCTACAACCAATGAGAGCAACGCAGTAAGTCAACTACTTTGCATAGCACAGTTGTCAACTACAGAACTCAAATGCACGCACGCTGGAAGAAGTAAAATAACGAGTGTTGCTTCTTTTACTTGGCCCTCTTGAGTGCGACCAAAGGAGAAACCACAACGACCACAGGGTTTTCATTGCGTCCCATCTTCTTAGTTACCATCGGAGCCAGCTGATAAATTAAACTTTTGCCGAATCCCATAGGAAGGACGGCAAACACATCTTTCCGATCGACAAATGCCTTGATTGCAGTTTTATGTTCGTCTTTTAAAATGAATGCGCTGTCGATTTCTTTTACAACGGACGCGATAGTGGAATCTCTACATCTCAGTTCTCCAGCGGCAGTCATCTGTGAGGGAAACCAGTTCAACCCAAGCGCTCTTTGATAACGTGAGGATTACGTCCCTGCAGATCATCTGTCCATCATTGTATAAAGCCCGCCCTGGCAATTTGATTGGCCCGACGATTTCTGAACCGATCATAATTACTCCTCAATGGAGCGAGTCCAGACCGAACTTCCCGATCAAAAAATGTTGTGGGCGGGGTTCGGGCTGGCATCCAGGCTATCGCAGAGGCGATATAGTCACAAAAGATTTAATAGCGAGACTGTTGTGGAAATGAGAGCAACCGTTCTGATCAGTTGAATCAAAATCAAATGATGCTTTTCTCTTTTCGGTTGACTTTAGCTGGGTTTCTATCCACATATTTTTATATACACTACCGTTCAAAAGTTTTGGGTCAGTGAGAATTTTATTTTTATTTTTGGAGGAAAGAAATCAATACTTTTATTTATCAAGGAATAATTAATTTGATCGAAAGTGACAGTAAAGACATTTATAATGTTACAAAAGTCTTTTGAACTTCCTATTCATCAAAGAATCCTAAAAAAAAAAAACTGTACAACTGACAGACCAACAACTGTTTCAACATTGATAATATTAATAAATGTTTCTTGAGCATCAAATCCTCATATTATACTGATTTGTGAAGGATCATTTGACACTGAAGACACTGACACTGGTGATGCTGAAAATTCAGCTTTGATCACAGGAATAAATTACACTTTACTATATATTCACACAGAAAACAGCTGATTTACACTGGAATAATATTTAATACTATAACTGATTTTTGTTGTATTTTTAATCAAATAAGCGCAGCCATGGTTAGCAGAAGAGAATTCTTTTAAAAGTATTTAAAATCGTACCGACCCCAAACTTTTGAACGGTAGTGTGTATATATATTTTTTTTTTAAATGTTGGATGAACACACCGAGAAGTGAATGCATCAGATTTTGTTCCACTCGATTTTGTTCATTGTATGGTGGTTGTGTCCACAAACTGCAAAGACACATTTATATGCAAACACCATATAAAAGTGAATTTTGCATCCGATGACCCCTTTAAGAACTTATAAGCACACTTGAGGTGGATAAATGCTTTGTTCAGTAAGAAGACATAAACACAAACTACAATGGAAACATTTATAGAATAAATTTCTAGAGGCGCATAAACAAGTATTGTGAATAATTCGCTTTGGACCAATCTCATTGCATAAATATGGTTCTAGTCTTAATGAAACGCTGCCAAAGCCTGTTATCAAAATGATTGGCTACTGTCACCATCAAAACTGTATGACATGCCGTCGCCTCTCAAAAATAAGGCATCTACCACCTCCATTCACTAGCGATGAGGACATTTTTGTCAGAATGTCTCTGCACTCTAAAGTAACTTATTACATTTAATAAAAGAGCCACAGTAGTTTCCCAATGGCCACAACTTCCATTTCTATTTTGCTCAAACTCCTATGTAAGTGAAAACTTTGTTCTCAAACACATGGGATGTAGGAACTGTTTTCAGGTAAAATTAAATTTGGAACTTGGATGGAAACATAGCAGCTTATGATTATCTCTTGCAGAACTCTGATTCTCCATCTCTAGTTTTACTTTGCAGTGTCACAGAATAGCTGAATAATATCAATCCAATTTTTACTATCTTATGCGCTCATTTTACTGAAAAATCACACCCCTCACGGAAATCTCCGAAGCTTGTCTGAGGAAGTAACAGAAACTGAGGGGGTGGAGCTAGGAGAAATGTAAATTTTGGTTGGTTGTGCTAAAAATTACACACTGCACCTATAACTGTCTGATCTCAAGTCATTTTGCTCGTTTTATATGGATCTCTCTCTCTCTCACTTTCTGTCTCTCTGCAGTGCTGGTGTTGATGTTTGTGATGTGGATGAAGAGACGGGATAAAGAGAGACAGGCCAAGCAGCTGCTGATCGATCCAGAGGACGACGTGCGAGACAACATACTCAAATACGACGAGGAGGGCGGCGGAGAGGAAGACCAGGTACATGCGCTCCCTCTCTACTGCTATTGCTGCTGGGCATACACAATTATTTCAGCTCAGAATAACTTGAGACCATCTAGCTTGTTTAATAAAAACATGTTAAAAATGTTGATTTTAAGCAGTCGTTAAATCTTCACCATTTTAATTTGAGCTGCGTAATGCGGTTTGAAATCACAATGACAAATTTTCAGCACTCATTTTGCAAGTAATGCTGATTACAAGTCATAGTATGCTAGAGACTCATTTTAAATCGATGAAACCGTTCCTGCTTTGCCTGGTGGTGTGAGCACATATTTTTGCATTTGCACTTGTAAAGTGTCTCAATGCTCACACACACACATTCAGTTTTATCATTTTGAAGACTTTTTGGTAACACTTTATTTTAAGGTGCTTGTAATAAGCAGTAATTAACAGTTAATAAGACACTTATAAGACCTTATAAGATGCATATAAGATGTATATAAGCATTAACTAATTATAATAAATAAATTAAATTAAAAAATAAATGTCTCAAGTATCAATACATTGCACTTTTAGAACAGCCGGACAAACGTAAATGGTAACACAAAGTCACTTAAAAATTGACCTTCCCAAGAGGGAGTAGTTTCCCTGATCTCTTCAGGGCCTGGACCTTTAATTAACCCTTATATGAAGTAGTTAATGCTTATATGCATCTTATATGCATCTTATAAGGTCTTATAAGTGTCGTATTAACTGTTAATTACTGCTTATTACAAGCACCTTAAAATAAAGTGTTACCGACTTTTTTATGGTTTCATGAGTTATTGATATTTTCTACTCTCTAAACCCCCAGAGAAACCATTTGGCATTTTTATTAAATTTTAATTCAAACATTAAATTGGGGTACACTGTATTTTTTCCACCTGCCTCTTCATCTTGCGCATGGCAGAGTGTTCTAACTTTTCAAAGTAATACTCCATGGACCATGAGTACTTACAGACATGTCATCTTTCAAACTTGTCGTGGGTATATTCTAACCTCTTGCATATCCATTTTTGTTGTTTCCACCTTCTTCTTTGGTTATTTTTAATGGCATTTTCCATCGTCTTCTTCAAGTAGTTCTTGAAAACAGCGAGCCAACTGTGAGTATTGCCACATAGTGGACCAACCAATTAGTGCAGTCAATTACAGGCATGTGTGTGTGCGCCATACAAAGTTTGTATTACACCGACCCTGCTGATTTCAAAATGTAGCGGCAAATCGAAACATACCTTCAGCTATCGGCTAGCTATGTAAAGGAGGAAATACTATAGAGTTTGATTGTTTTTATCCACCTTATATTTAACGTAACAGCAGGCGTCGCCATTTGTAACTTAAATGTGCTTCCAGTTATTTCAGCAGTATAAAAACAGTCTGATTTGTGGCTTGACATGGCGAACTGGTAACATTATTTTAATGTATCATCTTAGTCATAAACACACTGGTTTGTAGCGCAAATAGTTGTACTTTTTACTGCACTTTGTTATTCTTCTAGTTATTTGCTTATAGCGCCTGATGAGAAGTCTAAGCTATCGATACAAAGACCACTCGCTGACCTAAAAGAAATGAAATATCAGTATGAATAAAGAATATGTTTATTTTACATCAAGATTCAAGTTTTTTAGTTGTACTTTAAGTATTTTCATTCCAAATATGGACTGTTCCCAATTTTCCCATAGGAAGGTTTTATCAAATTTAGCTAACTTCTGAAAAGAAAACCCACTTGAATGTCCTTCATATGGAACAAAGCGAATTTAAATTGCATTACTATAGTGAAAACGTTCCTTGTTTTGCATGCAGATGTTTCCAGAAGACCAAGGGCTTTTAAGCAGACTTCTAACCCTGTTTGTGATTGTCTATCTGTGTTTCTTCAGGACTATGATCTGAGCCAGCTGCAGCAGCCCGATACTCTGGAGCCAGACATGATCAAGCCCGTCGGGATCCGCCGGATGGACGAGCGACCGATGCACTCCGAGCATCCGAACTATCCCATCCGCTCGGCCGCACCCCATCCCGGAGACATAGGAGAGTTCATCCACGAGGTACGCCGTGTGTCCGCTCTTCATATAAAATGGCTCGATGGCACCAGTGATAAGACTTAATGGTGATTGATTGGTTAATTGGACCAAGGTCCTTTTAGTTTTGTTGATCATTAGCCAGGCTCAGGGATCCAATAACTCATGCTACAGTCTGTGGATGCACGCCCTCCCCGCACACATGCTCTAAGCAGTGCGACTGCACTCAAAGCAGGGTGAGATTAGCAAGAAACTCCTTAAATCAGGTAATGCATTACTGCTAAATTTAAGCAACCTCACTTAAAAGACAGATTGGCTTTTTACACATCAGCATTTGCCAATCGTTTCGACCAAACTGTATTTTAAAGAAATTTAGCATTCGAACTTGAAAAGAAATTATTGTCACTTATGAGTTTTGTTTATAGTCGTTTTATGTCTGCAGAAAGATTTGTTTAGACAAGCGACTTCAGGATCCAGAATTATGTCAGCTGAACGTCTATACAGTGTTTAGTCTGTGTTAGCACTCTGTCTGGATAGTGTTATGCTAAGAATAGAACTTTATTTGTACAATATGGCGGTGTTTCAGACCCAAGTGAGCTGCCTACCTAGACCGCATTTTTGGGCACCAGAGGCATTTTAAACATTCAAATTCAACATGCATTTGGATGTTCGATTCACTACCAAAATTGTTTGGGCACATGTAAATCAAACGTTTGAATCTACCCCAAAATGTTGTCTAGGTAGACATGCGATCTTGTCTATGAATGTTTTTGCTTCTGTTGCATTATCTATCTAAAGTTACATCGGAAATGCTGTATTACATACCTACTTCTACTCGTTTTCACTACTACGGTTCGAATGCTAGCTTTTCCACACATCAGCTTGTTTGGCTGAAGAAGTACATCATACAGTTTTTTTTTAAATATTTGTATCGTTTTTGTTATTATTACAGACAAAACATGCATGTATAGGATTCATGTTTCTTCCATTGGGTGCCCACACTCCATACCCCCTCCACCATCATTGGATTGATTTACTTAAAATACAATTGTGCAATCATAGTGCAAAAAAAAGGGAAAAAAAAAAAAACAGGAAGCACAACCTTTTGTGTCAGGTTGTTATGCTGTAATGCTAAATATAACGGTAGAATCGTGTGTGTATTACGACCTGTCGGGACCTGATGAAAATAAAATAAACAAGGTTAATATATTAGTATTTATAATGTTTAAAGATTACCATATTCTTATAAATTCATTTTATGAGGAACTTCATAGGTTAAACTTCAGAGGGTCATTTTAAATGTTGGAGAGACTGCAGATTTCCTGAGAGGCGAGACACATTATTTCATAGCAGGAAATAATGGCCAGTACACAGTGGTCTTTGTGTTCATTTAAATTTTGGATTCACCTGCACATTTTACAAAACAGTAGAGAATAGTGCAGCAGCATGTGAAATGGCTCTCACACACAGTTTCTACTTAATGGGTTTCAGTTCTATTGTCACTCCTTCCTCCTTCCTTCCTTCCTCTTCTCACTTTAGTTGTTTCTCATCCAGTGCCCTGACAGTGTATTCAGTGTTTCATTGTTTAATTGTGCGAGCTCAGACTGCGCTTAGCTGTGGCGTTACCAGAACGCAGCCGCTTATAAATAAACGCTTTAGCCTGTTCCAGAGCCCAGCATCTGTTTGCACGGCGACCCCAATCCTTCTCCACTTCCCTCTCCTCCCATCTCCCCTCCTCCTCCTCTGTTTGTTCCTTCTATTTCTCCATCCCATCCCCCTCTTCTTCACTTAAACAGCAACACGTTGTACCAGATGAGTAATCGGACAAGAAAACGCTTGTATGATCATGTGCTATATTTGAAGCGTGTCTATTTTAAAAGCACATCCGTTGTGGTCATGTTCCCTAGGGTCTGAAGGCGGCCGACACCGATCCCACGGCCCCTCCGTACGACTCCCTGCTGGTCTTCGACTACGAGGGCAGCGGCTCCACGGCCGGATCGCTCAGCTCCCTTCACTCCTCGAGCAGCGGAGGCGACCAGGACTATGACTACCTCAACGACTGGGGCCCTCGCTTCCGCAAACTCGCCGACATGTACGGAGGCAACGACGACTAGCTTACGCCATCACCGCAGGAGCACAGAAAGAGAAGGAAGAACCGGAGGAGGAGGAAAATGAAAAGAAACAACATCAAAAAAACAAACAGTGTGGCACTTTTTTTTTAATTGCAGGACGTGGACAGTGTGCAGAATTGAAACAATGAAGAAACCAATATACCCTAAAGAGACAAGAAAGTGGAAGGAAGATCACCATGGAAACAAAACCAGGTCTCTCCGAGGCCCTCAGTTGTTGACGCAAGGGGGTCTTATGAAGGAAATCTGCCTAGGTTTGCTTCAGTCCAGGATTTTTTCGCCTAAGTTTGAAGGATCATCGGTACGAAACGTATGAAGGAACGCTTAAAGAACGTTAAATGAATGCTAAGTTACACTTGAATCTCACAGTACAGAAGCACTGGGATATTACGTGCCTTTTTGTACATTTTTTTTGTTTCGTTTTGACATTTTTCTTTCTTTTTCGGTCTTTGTTCATTTGATCTGATGATGTTGTTTTTTCTGTTCAATGGCTTTGGTGGCTCAGAGTTTTGGAGTGTTTATGTCGTGAGCCTGTTTATAACGTTTATGCTTCTGCTTGCGTTTCTCACCATCACGCTGTTCGTTCACGTCACGTATCAAAACGAAAGCTTTGGAAGAATGAGAGCTGCAAGACAGAGGGAACAGCTTTGTACAGTATGCTAGAAAATAGATTTCAGTTTCTTTCTTTTTTTTGAATTGAATAAAAATATATTCACTGTTTTTCCACCAAAACGTTAACTTATGCAGCCGGTTGCAAAATGGGAGACGAGCGTTATTATTTGGTAGCAGAACTCTTCGTTTATTTTCTCTCTCTCTCTCTGCATTTTTTGAAGTGATTTAGTATTTTGCAAATGAAAACATTCTGTTTTTTGAAATGTCATCTGCCTTAGTCATCCTGGTATTCTTTCATGCCTGGTATTCTTTCTTTTTTTACTCCACTGTAAATTAAATGGCGTGTACATAGTTTTTTGTTTTGTTTTTCCTCTTTTGATGTAGTCTACGAAGAAGAACAGGGCGTGAAGAACTTGTATATGTATAATTTGGACTACAGACAAAAGGATTTTTGCATGTTTTTATCTTTTACGTATAAAACGGTCTTTCTGAAATTGATTTACACACAAATAAAGAAATGCCCACCTTGAATGAGACTAAAGCGAATAAGTGAGACAGAAGTTTGGTCCAGATACCCGTTGTTTTCATCCCTCCCCTTTCATGACCTAACATTCCTTTTTCATTTCACCCTTTTGGCCCAGTTAATGACCTTCCATTCTCTAATTTCATTGCTTGACGTCCTTCGTCAAGGATTCCATGTTGACCTTCCGCTTCCTTTGTTCTTCTCTGCTACGTTCTGCATTTCCATTGTCTTCTCCCCCGGGCCACTCTCATGGATCAAAGAGGTCGACTGACGTTCAAGGCTCCGAGGCCATACTCCTAAATGCACGATCCTTCGGGATCTTCACGTTTGAACTAAACTGTAATGGTGGACCTAAGCCCTCATCATAACTGTCTCTAGTCCTGTTAGAGAACCGTAATGGTGTGTGTGCGCGTGTGTGTGTGTGTATCACTGGATACCGTCAGAGAGGGCCAATCAAAAGAGCAGGATGGAAATACGAGGCCAGTCCACTCATGAGGCTCACAGCCATAAGATGATTAACAGCTTTTTAATGGACGATGGCTGTCCAGACTTCTGCGGGCTCTGTTTGCAATTACTTGTTGATATTATGACCCATTGCAGCCCAAATGACCAATAAAAGTCTAATTTTGGAAATGCTGATTTGTTGGTTTTCTTTGCTACATTGTAGCATTAGCAGCTGTCTTCTAAGGCAGGGTCCTCCTAAGCATCATGGGAGTTCACCAGTGACCGATTTAGAATGCTCTAGCAAATCACTAATAGCACTCCACATGAGAGACTTGACTTGCAATTGATTTAGATTGTTAGTATGTTGCTGAGCTAAAAAGCTTTATACTCTTAATAAACAAAAATTTGTGATGCTCTGAAAATGCTGATTCGGTGTTAGACTACATTTTTTTGAAGGGCTTAAATCGTTGATCGAATCGCTATCTATTTCATGCACACAACGTGGACAAACGGTACATCATGCCGGCTGCATGGACAGACGCACTTAACAGTGACTAATAATAACGTAAAATTTGCTCTGCTGAAATATCAATAGGAGGCTGTGGGCGAATAATTTCACTACCACTGCTTTCATTTATCATACCAGGTTCAGTTTTCCATTTACCCAAATTTCATTACAGAAACTTTATCTATTTATTTTTTGGCTAAATGTAAACTAATTTTGGTGTTTCTTTAAAAATAAATTATTTCAATGCAACACTAATAAAAATAAATACATACATATTCACATGTAAAATAATATATTTTTATCTATATTTTTCAGTACTGAATTGAATCTATAAATAATATTTATCTTAAATCTTAAACACCATTTTAGATGGAGATGTGCTTTATGGATCACCTTCTTCTGCTGCCATTGAATTTTGATAAAATTAGATATCTTATTTAACATTTTTGAACAGCCTTTTTTCTTTTTTTTTCTTTTTGTCAGTGTGCCTGTAATGCCTTTAAATGTTGCCTGCATATGCAGCTCACTAGGTTTTGGAATGAGATAATTGTATATATGCATGCTAAATGGGCTCCATTAAATGGAAAAGGGAAATGCCATTGCATACCTTGACCTTAAAACTATTTACTGGCAGCTGGGTCATTATCTGGGTCTGTGTGTGCCTGCCTCCACCATTTGAGTCAGTCTACAGTCCACACACACGCACATAATCTTGTGTATTTCTATACTCCCTCCAGGGCTATCCTTTGCTCCTCCTCCTCTATCTAACGTTCTCCGGGGGCTGAGATTATTGTGCCAACATCAAAGCCTGGCCTCCCCACGTCCCATTGTGTGTGACTGAGAGAATGAGAGAGCTAAAAAGTGGAAGTCTTGTTGCTTAAGGTCACACGAAGGATGGGGAATAAGCTTTTCTCTGTGCTGCTATCTCCTTCATTCCACACTCCCTACGTATATACACATATAAAACTCATTCCTGCGTTTTATATTTAGAGTTCTTTTCCTATGTCCTTTTATACTTCATTTTCCATCATACTCTTTCTCTGTCCTTTGTTTCAGTTTTTTTTTTTTTTACTCGGTTTTGTCAGTAATGGTCTGGCCAGTCCAGTGGAACACTTGATCCTTTGTTACGCCAAAGGGATACGTCTGTCTGTCTGTCTCTCTCTCTCTCTCTCTCTCTTGGTGTGTGTGTGTGTGTGTGTGTAAGAGAAGGAAGGGCAGTGAGTGCTGCAGGGATTTACTTAATATAAAAGGAATACGAAGAGATATACATTTATGTTCATATATTCACATACCTATTGTCGGTGCATGTTTATCTTTTTACACTAAAAAATTATATGATCAATAAGTTATGATAAAATATGTTTTTACATTTCTTCAACTATTACAGTTTTTTTCAATTGCTTACACACTAAAATTAAAACTTTCCCACTATTGGCAAAACCTTACACTCAAGGAGCAAAACACCAGTCTAGATTTGCACAATTGTAAGCACGTTGTCAGCTTCACCCTTTTTGCAAAACATTACACACAGTGATTTGTAAAACTCTACACACATTTTCACACCTTAGACACAGATAAGGATTGTGAGGTTACTTCCTTGTCATTACAAAGCCCCGGTTTGCCATTGACCACACTAATGAATGAATTGGATATGCACATCCATCAGGCGTGGAAGCACACATGTGCTAATTTGAAAACGCAGCACTCAGGTGTGCTATAAAAGGCAGCAGGTGAGTTCACCTGTCTTCAACAAAAATGGAAGGAGCTAGACGAAGAAGAAGAAGAAGAAGAAGAAGAAGAAGAAGAAGAAGAAGAAGAAGAGTGAGAATAAAAGGGGGAGCTGAAAGAGGAGATGAAGGAGGTAGAGGAAGAGGAGAAGGAGGTAGAGGAAGAGGTGAACGAGGTAGAGGAGGAGGAGAAGGAGGTAGAGGAAGAGGTGAAGGAGGTAGAGGAAGAGGTGAAGGAGGTAGAGGAAGAGGTGAAGGAGGTAGAGGAGGAGGAGAAGGAGGTAGAGGTGAAGGAGGTAGAGGAGGAGCCCCAGGTCGAGGAAGAGGAGAAGAAGGAGATAGAGGAAGAGGCTTAGGTAGAGGAAGAGGTGAAGGAGGTAGAGGAAGAGGTGAAGGGGGTAGAGGAGGAGCCCCAGGTAGAGGAAGAGGAGAAGAAGGAGATAGAGGAAGAGGCTTAGGTAGAGGAAGAGGTGAAGGAGGTAGAGGAAGAGGTGAAGGAGGTAGAGGAGGAGGCCCAGGTATAGGAAAAGGAGAAGAAGGGGGTAGAGAAAGAGGCCTAGGTAGAGGAAGAGGTGAAGGAGGTAGAGGAGGAGGCCCAGGTAGAGGAAAAGGAGAAGAAGGGGATAGAGAAAGAGGCCTAGGTAGAGGAAGAGGAGAAGGAGGTAGAGGAAGAGGTGAACGAGGTAGAGGAGGAGGAGAAGGAGGTAGAGGAAGAGGTGAAGGAGGTAGAGGAAGAGGTGAAGGAGGTAGAGGAAGAGGTGAAGGAGGTAGAGGAGGAGGAGAAGGAGGTAGAGGTGAAGGAGGTAGAGGAGGAGCCCCAGGTCGAGGAAGAGGAGAAGAAGGAGATAGAGGAAGAGGCTTAGGTAGAGGAAGAGGTGAAGGAGGTAGAGGAAGAGGTGAAGGGGGTAGAGGAGGAGCCCCAGGTAGAGGAAGAGGAGAAGAAGGAGATAGAGGAAGAGGCTTAGGTAGAGGAAGAGGTGAAGGAGGTAGAGGAAGAGGTGAAGGAGGTAGAGGAGGAGGCCCAGGTAGAGGAAAAGGAGAAGAAGGGGGTAGAGAAAGAGGCCTAGGTAGAGGAACAGGTGAAGGAGGTAGAGGAGGAGGCCCAGGTAGAGGAAAAGGAGAAGAAGGGGATAGAGAAAGAGGCCTAGGTAGAGGAAGAGGTGAAGGAGGTAGAGGAAGAGGTGAAGGAGGTAGAGGAGGAGGCCCAGGTAGAGGAAGAGGAGAAGAAGGGGATAGAGGAAGAGGCCTAGGTAGAGGAAGAGGTAGAGAAGGACTTGTAGAGTTGATAGAACCTGAACAAAGAAGACAAGGACCAAATTTGACTCAAGAAATCCGTGCAACACTTATTGACCATGTTATCAACCATGGACTGACAACGATGGAAGCTGGACAAAGAGTTCAACCAAATCTCTGGTTGATACTGTAACTGAATAGTTACAGTATTCTTGTTGCTTTTACAGTAGTTTTTCTCCAGAGTCAAACTGTATGTACTTCATGCAGTAATTTTTATTTGTCTACAGATTTTATTTTTTTCATTGATTTCATTGTTGGTTGATTACTGTAACTGATTATGGTTAGAAATACTGTAAATAAATACTTGAAATATGAGTCTGCAGAAATCAGTGTTGTGCAGTGCTTGGCAAGTTTATAGTAGGCCTATTAGTGTACATTCTCCCTATATCTCAAACTAATCATGAAGAATGTTGTTTGTTTGTCACAATTTTTTTTCATCTAAATTATCCCTTACATAACAATGTCTGGCCAAAAATCTAGCACATGCTATTTCCTAAAAATAGTTTTTTTACAAATGTGTTTTTTATTTATCACAGCAG